CACACACCTAATGGAATGGATATGAGCAACACATCTCGAAGAACAACAGTTACAACGGTGAGTAACCGTCTTTTCTTCCCTAACTCTCAAACAAAGAAAGGGCTACACTCCTCGGATAAATTATTTGCAAAGGACATTTTAATCAGCAAAAGTCAGTTCTTTGTTGGGAATGGGAGATGTACAGCAAAAAGGGATCTTGAGAGCGGTCACTCCAATTTCTGAGGCACTGATGCCCCAGCTTGGGATTCGAGGCATAAAACTGCAGTCCTAACCCCTTGTGGCCATTTAAAATCCCATGGCATGCTTCGTAAGGGTAGCAGGATTTCCAACCCTACCTGTTTCAAAATTGAGTCAGGCCTCCCAAAATCACACGATTGGCTTAAAAATCACAAGATTTTTAAAAAATAAGACTTTGCATCTTTTTATTTGCTTTCTGCTGTCTGAGCCTTTAGGTTTTGTGTTTTGAAGCTTCTCTTTGCAACCATGAGGGCGAGATACTTATTTCCTTTAAAGGCTGAGATTCTCGAGTAATCATATGACTCCAGAAGCAGAGGTTTTAAGAAAAACACCAAGTATTATGAGACTCATGATAAAATTGTGATAGTTGGCAATGTTGAAATAGGGTTGTTAATCCCTGTGTCCTACCAAATTCCAACTTGAATATCTAGATTCTGCCTCCTTAGACTCTTCTTGCAGTTTAATTGCATGTGATCTTAGCCTTCATTTCCTGTTCTAAATTGTTCTGTAGTGTCCCTGTGAGCTGTTAAACAGCTGCTGGACTAAAGTAATGGGTAAGTTAGTTCCCTGGTAAAGCTGACTGAGATAAAAGATGCTTTGAAAGCATGCCATAGTTCTGAGTCAGCATTATCTAATGATTAGAACAGAGGACTAGATGTTACAAGGCCTCTATTCCTGACTCAGTCACTAGCTCACTATGTGGCTTTAGGAAACTCAGTTAATTTTGGTACATTTATCTAATAAATATAGTACTTTTCTTTTTGCAAAGTTGCCTGCGACCATTAGATGAAGGTTATCATACTTCATAGCTGCAAAGTCTTAATGTGATCTTCTGTGTGTCCAATGTGAAAAGTTGTCACACCTCTGATATTAGTTCTCTTTAAGTATTTACATAGTGGTGTTCCCCTTGAGACTCATGTCTTTAGACTAAATACATCTACTTGAATTATTTTGTCTTCATTTTCAAGTTCCTGTATCACTTTGGTTGCCTTTCCCTGTGTCGAGAATAAAGTATGAGCAGTCTGGCTTAATGGTTAGAGTCAAAGTGAATCAGGACCAGGAACCAGAGCTGAGGGTCAGAGCTGTAGTCCAGAGCCCAGGGGTAAAGCCAGAGTCAGGGGACAGAGACAGAGTCAGGAGCCAGGCACCAGAGTCAGGACTAAGGAACTGTTGGCCTGGTGTCTTAGGCTAGGTCTACACTACCCGCCTGAATCGGTGGGTAGAAATCGACCTCTCGGGGATCGATTTATCGCGTCCCGTTGGGACGCGACAATCGATCCCCGAATCGACGTTCTTACTCCACCAGCGGAGGTGGGAGTAAGCGCCGTCGACAGAAAGCCGCAGAAGTCGATTTTGCCGCCGTCCTCACAACGGGGTAAGTCGGCTGCGATACGTCTAATTCAGCTACGCTATTCACGTAGCTGAATTTGCGTATCTTAA